TTTATTTCATACAAATACTTTATGTGTAGGTTCAGTGAATTGTTCAGGTGTCAAAACATGTCACACTGTTTAATACCTCAAAGAACCTCAAAGCACCAAACCTTCCTGTGTTCCACACATGCAGAGCTGTTCACTGACAAACTGATGCAAACCGACTTCATTAGTTGGGCAGTGAGTGGGACTAGTGCATCGTTAGAGCAGTACGCATCGCTGGATTTCACGCCTAATTGAGCGGTACGCTTGTGCCCGTCGGTTGACATCAAAGGTAAGTAAATCTGTGGGATTGTTCAGTCAGATAATACGCCGTTATGCTTATTTGTGACATTAAATGTCATGTCGGAGTCAGAATCCAAGGCTGTCAGTATGTTAAGGATGTTTTAAAGGGTTCTGTTTGTTTTTCCTAAAAACCTGTCGGATAGCAACGTTTGGGATTGTTTAGGGTCGGATTATCGAGTCACCACTGTACACTGATTTCATTTTAAGAAAATAAAAAAATAAATGATCATACCTGCCCCTGTCTGCAGCTGGGGTAGTCTTCAGACTGATCTGCCGTTGTTCTGTGCTCCTCTGCTGCTCCTGCGTCTAAAACAAGGACAGAAAGACGTGTTATGGAGGCCAACAAGACGCTGAGAATCAGACCACCAAACCTGCAACACTGCATTTATTGCAACTGTTAGACATATGGACTTATACAAGCTATCGAAATCAAGAAATAGTCGTCACACACTGACAGATTTACTCAACATTTCTATTTTGTTTGGGAGACAAAACCAAAACCTTAAGGTAGATTTCACAAGTTATGTCATTTCTAAGGTTTGTGAGAGAGTAAAACATGTACATATAAAACAACAGCTAGAACCTCCCACATCTTTTTTGTTAAAACAAGACAGCCTTCGCTTAGAGCTAATTAATTATTAATTAATTACAGAAGTGCTGTGGTACCTTTCATGTTTGTTTACTAGCTTGCCTTAATGCTTGATCAACCTATCATGGGTACTCATGTCTGTTGGATGTGAGTAAAATAATCTAAACAAAACATTTACGTGTGTAACACTAATCTGCCTGATTTGTGAAAACTGTACTGCACACTCACCTTGCTGGGACCTGCCTCAGGTGGCTCATCTCTCTGCTCTTGTCTCTCCTGCTGACCTCGCAGGTCTCTGAGCTCTCTCTCCTGTCGGCTCAGGCGGCCCTCGTACTGAGACTTGAGAGCGCTCACTCGCACCTCCAGCTCCTCACGCTGCTGCTTTAGCTGCTCATTTTCCTTCTGTAGCTGGTCTTTGGTGCCTAGACAAATCATTTAGGTCCGAGGTTTAAATAAATCAAACAGGCAATACTACAAGATTGGCAAAAGACAGAATGGAAAAAAGGAATTCCTATAAAATATGAAATTGTGTAATAAGGACAGTCTCACCTATGAGCTGGTTGAGCTTCTGCTTGGCATAGACAAGAGCCTTCCTGGTCTTCTCCTCCTTCTCGGACATCTGCTGCCTCAGTGTGTCCTCCTGAGAAGCCTTGTCCTGCAGATCCTGCCTCAGCCTGTTGAGCTCTGCCTGCACCCTGGTCGTCTGTTCCTGGGCGCTACGTACCTCAGTCTCACGCTCTGTGACCACCTGCAATAAGTGTAGAGCACGATATGAATACAGCCTTCTTCTATGACTTTTTTTCCAGTAATATAAGTTGTCAACTATGCAAGCTCATCACAGTGCAAGGTGAGTATCCCACTGCTAGAAGGCTAGAAAAAAAAAACACAACCCCATCTAGGAAACTTCAGTAAAAAGTCTTAGCAGAGACTTGTGATGTCTAACCTTGCTGATGTTCTCCAGCTGTCCCTCCAGCTCTTTGGTTCTGGCTTCAGCCTGGGTCAGAGAATCTCTGACGCTCTGCAGCTCCTGAACTGAGGCTTGGCGAGCCTCCTCGTCTTGGGATGGGCCTGCTGTGGCCTCAGCTACCAGCTGGAGAACACGCAGTGTGACAGATTAATCTCAAAAGTGTGCAGTAGAGCTGCTGCTAATTGTCTGTTTATGACCAACTAAAATGCATAATACAATTCTGCACTGTAAACTTTGGGAAACAACCACCTTGTCATGTTCCACCTTGAGCTCATCATACTGAGTCTTGTAGCGACGTCCAATCTTCTTCACCTGGGTGATAGTTCGCGCCTTCTCCTGGAGTTCCTGGTTCTTGGTCTCCACTTCTTTCTTCAGTGTATTTCTCTCATCGGTTATCTTGCTCATATTGTCACGCAAGTTCTGTATCTGGTTCTGCAGGGACGTTGTGAGATTATTTGACCTGTTGAGAAGAATGAATTGGGAGAATGAACAGCAGGCTAGAAAGAAAAAAAAAAAAAGGAGCTGACAGGATTGAAGAAGCAACAGCAACTTAGCAACTCACTGTTCTGCTCAGTTCAGCAGTTATACCGTACACGATCCCTTACCTGGCCACGTCTGCTTTAAGCCTGTTGCTCTCCTCAGTGAGCTGCTGGATGCGCTTCACATGCGTCTCTTTCTCAGAGTGCAGACGCTTGTACTCTTCTGGATCCGAATCTTTCTGCTGACTCACCAAATGCTACAAGAACATGAAAAAGCAGAGCTAGTTGTAGGAACAGCTCAAACATTAGAAGTAAGATCGTCTCAGAACTTCACTCAAAGTTATAGTGCGGGACTTTTAATACAAGTTTACACAACGATGACTAAGCCCATCAGCGGCAGGTAAATCTCTCTGTATTTTGCAGGATACTGGAGTTTTTATCCAGCTTTTGTTGCGACAATACCATAGTGGTGCACTAGTCGAGATGTGTTTTATGTTAACTAGCAACGACTGGCTTGCCAGAGTTGAAGAGGGAAGCAATCGCAGAGATGGAGGCGACTTTGTAGACTTCAGAAACTAAGAGTATGGTTGAAAAACAGGAAGGGTCCAAGAAAAGCTCGTAATGCTCCAGATACAAAAAGGAATCCCATTATAAGCATGCAGGCATATGTTTTAAGAATTATTCATTTGAAGTCTATTCTGCACTGACCTGAGTCCGAGCCTTCCAGCGCTTGATTTCCTCCTCCAGTAATTTCTTCTCCGCTTGCAGGACGCCGCTTTTCTCACTCAGCTCAGAGTTAGCCTGCTGCAGTGGCATGATGTCTGCCTCCAGCTTTTGTACCTGAAACACATGACAAATAAAATTTAACCATCCGCAGTAATGGAACAATTAGTAATCAGAGTGTACAAACTGTAAGTGCTTTAATTAAGTGGTGAATGCACATAACTCTCACCTAATGCAGCAAAATAGAAAAGTTTTTTTTAAAAAAACAGCATCATATACAATTAATGAGCCATTATCACACCTTTGCTTGAGTTTGTTGCAGTTCTTGCTCCATCTTGTTCTTCTCCTCTCTCAGCATCTTGTTGGTCTCCATCAGGATGCTCATAGTTTCTGTCTTCTTCATCAGCTCGTCGTGCTGAGCCAGGGTCTTTGCGGTTACCTGAGACAGATCAGCACCGGGGTATCAATCCCACACCATACAATGTAGGTCTGAGGGCTACTAGCCAGGTTGTATATTTGTGTCGACTAATTGTGTTTCAGTAAGCAACGTTTCTCTGAGTGAACCTTGACCTCCTTGGAGTAAAATGATTCTACGTGGTTCAACTTAAACGACAGGTAAAGAAAATCTGCAAAAAGGTTTTTCAGTGGAACCAGCCTGTACAACCAACCTGTGAGCTCCACAAAGCCACAATGTAGTGATATAACTTTAGTCACTGTAAAATAAATGAGTCAACAAAGATAAAACCGTACCTGCATCCTCTCCCTCGCGGCACTCAAGCTGTCCTGCACCTCCTTCAGCTCTCGCTCCAGATGCTCGACCCTCAAACGGTGACGCAAACTCTCCCCTTGGGCAACCTCAAAACGAGACTCTGCAATCTCTTTCTCCCGACGCACGAACCTGTGATGGAGAACAGGAACCGAGGACGTTAGAAATACTGAAAACAAGGAGGAACGGCACCACAGGCAGTACAACCAGTAAACGCTACTCATTCACTAGCATCCAATCCCAACTTTTGACTTCTTTACAGTCCACTAACACAGATCTGATTTGCAAGACTCCTTGAGCACAAGAAGATAAATGCGCTACCTGAGAATCTCGAGGAGTTGGTCTTGAGATTTTCCCTCCTCAGTCAGAGAAATGTTCAAGGAACTCTCACTGGCGGCACGCTGCAAATTGTCAGCCATCTTACTGCTCATCGTCTGGATCTGCTCGTGCAGGAGCGAGTTCTGCTTCTGCAACTCCTCATAGCGGCTCTCCATCTTAGACATCTCTTCCTGTAAGATGAGGAAAAAAAATACAATTGCAACAACTCATTTCAACTTAAAAAAAAAACAAAAAACTAACGAATGACTGATAAAAGCATCCAGCAGCGTTGTAATAAAAGGCTTTGTTAGGCTTACAGTGCTCAGATGTTGGATGAAAATTTCCTGTTATTTTGCAAACTTAACCTGAATACGTCTAATCTAGTCTGGTCATGGCTGTATATCTACTGCCATCTACAAAAACCAACCTTGAGGATCTTTTCCTGCTCCTCCCAGGAGACCCTGGCTTCCAGTAACTCAGCACTGATTCTCTGAGCTCTCTCCTCCAGCTGATGTCTGAGCTCGCTGGCCTGCAGGGCCTGAGCCTTGGCGGCCTGCAGGGCCTCCACGTCTGCTGCGTGCAGCATCATCTCCTGCTCATACTTACTTTGAGCTTCAGCAGCCAGTTTAGCCTTATGGATGAAGAGAAGAAAGATTTGATCATATTTGCATTTTTTGTTTTCAGTGGTTCATCTTCCTTGATGTTTCATTAAAATTATAACTTAAACAGAAAAATCTTCCCAAATGGAGTTTTCGTTTGTTACAATAATAAATAGTATTCATGCATTAATCAATAAGGAACCGACAAGAATCAACGTACATTCTTTACAAAGACTTGACTAGTGCACTTGAAGCTTACTTATCAGAAAATCTGTTTGTAGTCATGAAATAGGTGCTCATGTGTTTCAGTGTTTGATCCATCATCGCATCTGGCTGGCAGTTATACTAGATGTCTGACAGTTGTAGAGATGACTGTTAAATCACTTGTAATCTGTGCTCCTGATAAAATAACCCAGGACTTATCAAATATGGCTGGTTGTAAAGGGGGATATTTTATGAAACTGACACGTCAGGAGCACGAGGTAATATGGTGGCATTTAGGGGGCATATGTAGCAGGAACATTCTTTGAAGTTATTTTTGAACACACAACAAATCCCTTTCTGTTTAGCTGATTTTAATAAACTGACGGTTATTATCAACCCTTACTAGAATATTCCCCCCAGAAACAGATTACTTTCATATTACACAGCTTACCTGCTCTTGGCTGTCCTGGACAGCCTGCTGCTGCTGGGCCTCAGCTACTGCCACTTGCTGGAGCGCTGTCTGATGATCTGCTTGAGCACTGCTAAGATTTCTTTTCAGAATATTAATCTAAACACAGAGACAACAAACCCAAATGATCAGCAATATATATATATTAATAATTATTATTGTGTATTTATACACATATGCAGAAGTATATTGATTAAAGTACAGTAAAGGATTTCACACCTGTTCCTCCAGAGAGGAGAGAGCTCTCCTCTTCTGCTCCTCCACTTCCTGCTTCCCTTTCTCTGCTTCTAGGAGCTTTGCTTCCAGCCTGTGGTGCTGTTCCACAGCCTCCTTCATACGGGACTCAATGGATGAGCGTGCCTGCTCCGTCACCTGGTGGTCAGGCAGTTAATGTATGACAAGTTTATACAAAAAAATAAAAAATCTCTTCAGTTTCAAGATCCCAATTTGTGGAAGTCGACCAAAATGATAAAGTTCTAGCTAAATGCGAGAATATAGATGGACACTCATTCATTCAGTATCTGGTAAAAAAAAACTCAAAAAAACAAACAAACACACTATTACTTGCTTGACACTATGAGTAAAATGAATTTAAATTTGTAGTTATTTAAATAAATAGTGTCATATTATGCAATATCAAAGGATGAAAACATTAACTTTTATACTTTTTTGGTTTGGTATTACTAAATATCCAAAAACTAGATCGTCTCCTCACATCCAACTCTGAATAATTCACAGGGCTCCTGTGAATATTCTGACAGACTGACTGTGTCTTTGTGCTTTTTCCAGGATACAGCTGAGGTGTGCCGAGCACTGTGGAATAGCCCGTGGTTAAAGGAAAAAAAAGACAAGGGACCACCCCGTCTCTTTTCGATTCAATTGTATTTTTATATAAAGTTAGAATGTTCAATGACTATAACTTAACTAACCTTGTAATTTGCTGACCAGCTCAGGGTACGCTACAAACCATCTCCCTATATCAGATCAACACCATGGGCTTATCAAGTAACGCCAAAATATCTGCCTCCAGTATAACTATTCAGCCATTTTACCCATCTACAGCGTTTTTGTGGTAGCATATAATCGTTTTATCAGAGGGGGAACACTTGTGTCATAATAGTGTCCCCAACCTGTTTCTCTTTGTCCAGGGACTCCTCCAGGCTCTGAGCCATGGCTCTGTACTGCTCCATGCTGGAGGTTGCTGCTCTGAGGCTCTCCGCCAGCTCCTCTGCCCGGGATTCGGCCAGCTGCAGGCGGCCTTGTAGGTCCTCTCGGTCTTGATCTGAACCCTGCAGGCCTTCAAGTGAGTGATGCAGTTTGACAGTCAGTAAATGACTTTAGGAGGCGAGGACACATTGTGAACGAATGAAAATACCGTTCCGTTGTTACAAGTCTGTTTACGTGTGGTTTAGACGTTTCACTGGGCTCTTTTACTGGATCTCATATAAACAGGAACTAGTGAGACCAGAGCATCCACACAAAAGGAGGTTAAGAATAAAACTGGGTCAGTCCAGAACAGTGGACTCTGTAAACTGTAAGCAATTGACTTGAATCTTATTATTTCCCCACACATGCAAACTAACATAAACAGACATTTTAATGCACAACAGTTACACAGTAAAAGAAAAATCCAAACTATTTGCTGCCAACCTCTGATGATAGGTGTGGATGGGGAACTCAGGGTGTGACGTGCTTCAAAGCTGCCTTGTTGCCCACGGAGGCTGCTGAGCTCCAACTCAGCAGCGTTCAGCAGCTCCTTGGTTTTCTTGTGTAAAGCAACCTGTGTCTCAAACTGCCTCTTTGTATCCATCAGCTGGATCTGTTCAAGAGAAATCAGTTACGTTAAGAAATAATATCTGTAAATTGTTTTTCTGTCCTCTCGACCTCAAACTTCAGGCCAAAGAAAATGTCTGCACTCCGGCCCCATCTCTAAAGATATAACCAACAGTTCTGACGCTTTTTGGCTAAAATCCTTTTATGGTAAACTGCCACAGGAAAACCGTTTTATTCGATGCTTACTTCCTGGTTTCTGCTGAGCAGGTGCCGCTGTTCCACTTCATGTTCAAGTCTCTTCTGGAGCTGGGAGATTTCTCGCTCCTGCTTCTCCAGCTGGCTGTTGAGACGCTGGCGTGTATCCGTCTCTGAGCGCTCCAGAGTGGCCTAGAAGAACAGAAGAGTTACCATATTGAGCTTTGTTGGTGTGCGTGTGTGTATGAGAGTCAGACAATGAATAAAAAACTACTCTGGGTTTACCTGAATAGCCTGAAGGTTGGTCAGCAGCAAGTTCTGGCTCTGCTGTTGACTCAGGATTGTCTCTTTCTCTTGATTCAGCCTGGACTCCACCAGCTTTAGCATGTCTCGTTCCTTACGCAGGTTCTCAGCACGGCCCTAGAGTTCACAATGACATCAGTCTATGGTTTCTGTCTCAGCATTTCCTCAAGCAGTGACACATTTAAAATCAAACACTGGTGCAATTCACTTTGGGACTGATAACGACACTAACTCAGGTGGGCCTGTACCCTCTCACTTCATCATCAAGTGTAACACAGTGTGGAGTTTCTAAATTACTCTGAGAGAGTCGGGTACAAACACAGTGGCAAGCTTTGGGGCGCTCCTGCCTTTCTCTGATTGAGACAGGATCTTATAATCAGCATTGTAGCTCTTGGAGGGCTTTATTACCTGCTCCCACTTAATGCTAGCTGGTTTGGATTAGCACTTAACGTGATTGAGCCTTAATGCGAAAGCACAAACAGAGTTGGATTGGGTAGTGGCCGGGTAGAGAACTGGGTCTCAAACACAAATGGAAATACAAACCTCAGCCATAGTGAGCTTCTCCTTGGCAGCTTTCAGATCCTCATTCAGCGTGTGGATGCTCTGCTCAAGCTTCTGTGTGGCAGCAGCCATCTTCTGTCCTTTCTCTCTTAGGGAGGCAATCTCCTTCCTGTAGCCCTCAACGTTGTCCTGCAGCATCTCGTACCTGAAAGTGTAGAGCTGAGGGTCACTTTTTGAGGCCAGTGTCTTCATAAACCAATGGTCAAGTGTCATTTGAATTAAAGTTACATCGGAACAGTAGGTACAGTTTACATTCTACTGCTCGTGGTTTTTCAAACTTACCTCTTTGAGGCAAACTCCAGCTGGGTGGATACCTTGGCATTTTGGGAGCGGAGGTCGGACAGCTGCTCCTGTAGCTTCTCATTCTGCGTGGTCATTGCCTTGTCACTCTCCATGCGTTCCTTCTTATAGGTGGAGAACACCTCCTGCAACTGCAGACCCAAACAAACATTCTGATTTACTTTCGCAGCAGAGCTAGTTTGCCTGTCAGAGTGATTTTTGAGGGGCAAAAATTAAATTTGCTACCCCTGCGTTTGATCCAGTAATAACCCTGTAGTCAACAGGTAATCTCTAGCTGTGAGACTTCAGTGATACCTGGGCATGCATCTGCAGTTCAATACCCTTTAGAGAATAACACTTTCTGCTAACTAATAAAATATTTTTCAGATAGTTTTTTAAATTATTGACTTTTCAGAAGTGATGCAGTCTCTATTTTTGTGCTCTCTTAACAAACTGATAAATCCTGACACTGACATTAAAGTCATTATTTGCTTCACAAGCAAGAAAATGCCAGCTTGAGTTCATTACATCAGAATTTCAAAAATAGTTTTTGAATTAAAATTTCAGAATGAAACATCTCCTAATGTAGGCACAACGCCATCTGGTGGCCAACATAAGCCCCACACTTTGCTATTTCTCAGTAATAAAGAGAAATTTGCAGGACTGAAGTCATGAATGAGCAACTATCAAACAAAACTGCAAAATCAGGCAGTGGAGCCGAGAGACTGTTCGTATGCTGGACGCTGCTCCACATGCACCACTGGCTGTAAGACTGTATGGATTACAGTGGCAACAGAAACAGTGGTGTTGCTGTGCTTCATGTCATCGCAAAGCGCTTCTGACAGTCAAAGTGTAAATCTAAACATCTCACAATTTCAGCCGTGTGTGGCAAATGCAGCACCCACCTGTCGCAGCGCCGCCTTGGCCTCCAAAGCTTCGGCAGACTCTGTAGCCATGGCAACAAGTGCAGTCGGGGTCCCTGTGGTGGGAGTGGCAGCAGGTGAACGCCGGGGGGTGGAGGTCAGGGAGAACTCCTCAGGTGGTGTACCTTAAGGACAAACAATCAGGAGTTCAGATATGCAAACAAACAGTACCAACACTGTTGTGGCTAAGGTTAAGTGAGTTCTTAAGATCCTACTGAAAAGACTCGACTTGAAAATGCCAGTAATCACAATTAAGATTCATATTAGGACATCAAATCATCAACCTCCCACTGTGTTATAAAGAGGTGAAGGTGCATTTTCTAAACTGTGTTTCTTGCACTTAGTCTCTCTCTTGCTTGCATTACCTTGTTGAGGGAAGTTGACGCCAGTTGCCTGAGCCAGCAGCAAGCGGTACATGTCCCTCTGCCTCACGATGGACTCCGCCAGCTTTATCTGCTGGCTGCGTTGTTCCTTCAGAGACTCCAGCTCAGCTTGAGCTTTCTCCAAACTCTGCTCCAGCTCCCCTCGCCTGAGACAGTATATTGTGATTAGCCCCACTGACAGTTTGACCTCTTTGGTTACCAACAATTGATGGTTTATTAATAATAATAAAAAAAAATAGGTTCAAATTGGATTTTGGGTATTTGTTGCGTGCTACTCTTGTTCACCAGTATTTTTTTCTCTCTTACAAATATGATGACAACATTCTAACGTACTTGTTGCCAGTGGCTTCAAACTCCTCTTTCTCTTGTGCATCACTGAGCTCCCTGAGGGCTACAAGGAGACGCTGGTTCTGCTTCTGGAGTTCCTCTACACTGCGGAAGGTCACCAAGTGCTGGCTGATCACCTCCGATGTGCTGCTGACGTCAGCTGAGCTCAACTCGTCCTCATGAACCACATGGTTTCCACGAGCCTCTTCCAGCTCAATCAGCAGCACACGCACCTGGCAAAAAGGACAAAGAATTGGGCAGAAAGTAAGGACTTTGAGACAATTGACTATTTCCCTTTGATTCAGAAAAAAATACTCCAACACAATCCTGGAATAAAGAAGAGCTGCAGCCCACCTGCTGAGCCATGTCTGCCAGCTGGAGTTCACACCTCTGGCTGTCTCTCTCCAGGACTGAGGAGCGCTTGTTGGCCTCATCAGCCTCATTTTGCAGACGATGCACTTCCTGCAACAAACACGTGCCATTCCAAACAGTTTGCATTGTTTACTTTAAATCCAGACGGTAGTAAGTAGCACTGAAGACACCATTTACTACATATTAGTAAAACAGAAAACCTGAAATGTAATTAAATGGAAACCCCCATTCGTACACACCTTAACAGCCTGCTCCAGCTTGGCAGACAGACTGGCCACTGACTTCTGCATGCGCTCATGCTCATCCCGCTGCCGTTTGAGGATCGGTGCCTTTGCTTCCACTTCCTGCACAATGTCATCCAGATATTTGTTGACTCGCTTGTTCTCCAGTCGCTCCAACTGCAGCTGCTCCTGGCTCTCCACATACGCTGTATACAACTGAAAACACATGTCGTCTTATGTCAAACGATAGCACAGAGAATGCAGCTGTGTCATGTTGGCACTTCAGTTTACAGAGAAATGAGCACAAGCAAGACATTAACAACTACTGTGAAAACACGAACACTTTTCCATGTTCTATTTGAGCGTTGAAGAGAAGCTGTGCATACCTCAGTCAGCTTCATACCAGGTTTGATCTTGGACACAGCAGCCGCTGTTGGTGACATTGTCGTCATTTGCTCCTCTGTCAGTACAGATGTTGTACCAACAGGGCCTGGTCAGGAAAATGAGGGATATAATGTAGATCATGCATTTAAGAAAAATCACAAGGCTTGTGCTGGTTTATTAAATGTCCACAATGTAATCCCGTGTTACAAAGACAGCAGACAGAACAACAATCAACTCAACTGACCTCTAAGTTTAGAACTTGACAGCAGTTCATTGGCGTTGTCCAGCTCTCGTTCAAGGCTCTGGATCCTGTCCTTAAACTCAGCAACAGCCTTGTCTGTGGTGCCATTCATTTCCTGACACTTCTCCTCAAGAGCCTTGTTGGCTGTGGAGCAGGGAGGAAATCAAGAAACTGTTGTGAAATATCAACACGCTGACACTAAAACCACAAATCGAAAACACTAAGTTGAGCTTCGTCAGACACTGTCCATCCAGTAAGACATTGAGTACTAGTATTTTAAGGATATAAAGATGATTCTGTGGTAGCCTCGTACCTTCTCCGGCATCTTTCAGAAGCTTATGCAGTTCCTCCACTGCCCGACTCAGTTCTTCACTTTTTGCTTCAGAATCTGCTGCTGCTCCCTGTCAGAGCAAAGTTAATAGTGAACAAAAAAAAAACTCCCCAAGAATGTGAACAAAAACATGCATAAACAAATCTGTGCACTAATAAAATCAGCACAAAGTTTGTCTTATAAATTCTGGCTGATCATCTGTTGCATCGGACCGCTGATGTAAGTTGTTGCTACAAAAATAAGTAGCACAAATTACCTATTTAAATGTCATCGTGAAGAAAACGCATGCATATGATAAAGACAACAGTCACAGGGCGTAGTGGTTGTACATTTTAAAGTTGTAAAACAGTGACACTTTAAGCTCGAGCTAATGTTGGCACTTTCACATATGTACACACCTTGTATAAATTGGAAAGCTTAATGTTGGCGTTCAGCTCATTTCTGAATTTCTCCTCCATGGTGGTGTGCTGCTCCTTGGCCTAAAATAAGTAAACATTCAGTCATTCACCTTCATGATAACACTTGACTAGCAACATATTGTCTGTAAATAAAACTTCAAAAGCTGGAAGCACACGTACTTCTTTCAGTTTGCTGATCATGTCCTCATTTTGTTTCTGAAGGTGCTCGTTTGACGTCTTCAAACTGGCCACTTGATCTTGGAGTTTGTTCAACTGGAAATCACAGGGATAATAACATTAAACACTGAAGAAGGCCTTCACATTATCTCAACACGAAAGAACAGCAAACAGCCAGTGTTGAGCAGAAAGTGACGGTTAAAGACTGAAACTGCAAAGTACACAGTAATCTACTAGACTGTACATGAATCTCAGCAAGCCTTATGAAGTGTCTTAAGATTTTAATGTAATTTCTGACACAATCACTGTAAGATGTAAACACAGAAAAGAGACTTGCCTCATCGTCTTTATTCTCCACGGTGCATTTCAGCTCCAGGATCTCGTTACCCTTCTGCCTGGACAGCGACAGCAGTTCTTCACTCTTGGCCTTAAGCTCCTCATTCAGCCATGACGTTTGGCCATTTAGCAGCTCTTTCTCTTGTTCCATACGCTTCTCCTTGTACTGGAAAGGAAAACCACAACAACTTCAGTCAGTAATTTGCCTATAAGGCAACATGGAGAAAAAAAAAGGTAAAGAATGGAATAAATAAATAAAATTGGAGGCTATTCTGTTTACAAAGTCACTTCTTCTACAGACAAAGCTGGTGTCAACACATTTAATCAATATAAAAATAGAAAATAACTCACTTTGATGTTGACTTCAGCTGCTTCAAGCTCATCTAACTTCATCTGCAGGGCCATCTTAGAGGTGTTCACTTCCACCAGCTTATCACTATGTTGCCTCAAGTCATCTGTTGGAGTGATCAAAATAATATTAGTACCAAGTCTACATGTCATTTCAAGTGTATGAACAAATTCTTTAAAAGTAAAGGTAATTTATGTGCCAATACCATTTAAATGTTCCACTTCCAAAGATCTCCTCTCCAGTGTTCGCACAAGTTCTCGCTTCTCTGCCTCCAGTTCCTCTTTGGCTTTAGACAGCAAAGTCTAAACAAATGCAGTTCGTTAACCACCGTGACTGCTGGTGTATCTTACAAATCAAATGCAACCTATAAGTTATATTTAGAATTCTGGTGATAGCGATGTAACAGTTTCTCAGTTAAACTAACCAGCCAATTCATTTTTACAAACTGTTCAATGTACAGAAACAAACAATAACCAAAACTGAATCTTGCAATCAAACATTCTACAGCTTCATTCAGCAGACGCTTTTATCCAAAGCGACGTACATCTGAGAGCAGTTACAACACAAGCAAGGATCTAGTCAGGAGAAAACAATCTGGACAAGTGCCATAAAACAAATTCAAGTGTGATAGGGCGTTGATGCCAATAGAAGGCTGTAGGAAGGTAACAGGAATTTTTTCTTTTTGGTTTGTTTGTTTTCGGGCTGTCAAGAGCAAAGGTGTTGAGTAAAAAGCTGGTCTTTAGTCATTTCTTAAAGACTGAGAGGGACTCTACAGAGTTTGTTAACTCGTTCCACCACCACGGAACCACAGAGGAGGAGAAGAGTCTCGCCATCGACCTCCGGCCCTGTTGCGCTGATTGTATCAGGCGGTTTTCTGTTGGTCGAGCATATTGAGCAGAGGGAGTGTGGATCTGAATGAGAGAGTTCAGGTAGGAGGGAGCTGTTCTCGTTGTGGTTTTGTAAGCAAGTGTCAGGGTTTTGAATTTGATGTGGGTAGCAACTGGAAGCATGTTATCAAACTTCCACTTTTCCAAAAGGCCAATGAGAGACGATTTTGATACATTTTTGGTGAAAACTTGTGTTGACAAAGGCGCCGTAAAATTGAATCGTGGACTGTTGGCGTGGCTCGTTTACAATAAACAAACACATCTAGGAACACACATTGGTCACATTTATTTTTACAAAAGTACTACATCCGACATGTTAGACATTACTGTGTTTTGGTGTTAATTATCACACGTAAAAGCACACAGCAACACGACCTATAATGGGGTGTAAGAGTGCCTAAAGCAAACTGTCTGATTATCAGCATGGCTGTTCTGCTTGACTTACCTGCTCTGATGACAACCTCTCCTGGGCTGATTCATATTCACTGTTCTTCAGTCGCACACTTTTGAGCTCCTCGCCTGAAGGACAGATTTACGGTAAAAGTCAACACCGTGAAGTCGTAAAAAGACTCAACCTTAGTCCGCATGTATTGCAATAACAAGTAAACTCTTACCGAGCTTGGTGAACTCTTCTTTGAGCTTAAGATGTTCTTGAGTCTGGGACAAAAATTCCTCCTGACATTGGGCAAGTTGTTTAACTTTTTCAAAGAACTGTTGCTCTGTAAGAAGAAGGTAAACAAACAAGTTTACATCGATGGAAAAATCGATCAGCGTTACTTTCTGTTCAAAGTCATCTCAATTACGTCAAAACGTAAAGCGCTGCTAGTGCTAGCTTAAGTTAGCTTCACATCGTGGTCGCTGATAACCTGCAGTTTAATCAAACGTTAGCTGCAGTCCACATTCCACATTCCCAGAGCCGTTGGTCGACTTTAACGCTGTGAGTTTTCATACAAAGCAAACTTGATAGCATTAACTTCGGCCCGTCCACCAACATGTTTGCATGGCGAGCAAAGCCAGACACTTTAGCACCACTAGCTAGCAACATAACGGGCAATAACTCACCGCTGTCGACACGATATTGCTCCTGTTGCGCTTTCAATGAGTCTATTTCATACTGTTGATCCGAAAGAATTCTCTCGAGTTTGTTTTGAACTGTTTTCGGTAGCTTGGATATCTCCGAAGCTTCCAACTCCTGTAGCAGCAGTGCCGCCATTTTTCCCGACAACAATACGGGCACGCGCAGTTGACAATTTCTAAATCGCTGAAGCATTGTGGGAAATGGATGCCTTTCACGCGAAATTGAGTTTTCGCTCACTGAAACACGCTTTGTCAAGAGGCGACGGGCTGTTTTTATTTTCTTTTTCTTTCTTTCTTTTTTTTTTTTTTTTTTAACGCAGACCATGGTACAGTCACGTACAAACATACTTCAAAATTTTCCCAACAAAAGTTTAAAGTGCAGTTGCTTTATTCATACAGTTTGTCCTCTTTGTTGACTGTTTAGCTCCACATTGGTGGTCAGAAGATGGCGCCAACACATCAGACAGGTGAGTGTGTGCGAGTGTACGTGCAGGCAGCAGCAGTACGTGCCTGATGCCACTGAGAGGTCCAGAAAAGTGTGTTTTATGTGCATGCCTGGGAAATTCAAAGATGACAAAGTTACGAACAATTCTAGTCATCTTACAAAGACGTGCAAAACAACACAGCTGGAAACAAATCACAGCAACAACATTTCCCAAACAACTACGAATGACATGATTCACTCTGTTCTCATAAGGCAGCAAGTAGCTTTAGAGGGAAAACAGCACACTATAGTAGATTTGTGCAGAGCAAAGACACTAAAGGTGCTGGTATATTTTTTTTTCTGTAAGTTTGAAATTTGGGGGGCTCTAGATACACACATAAGGCAGGTAGGATGGTTTAACATTTACTTTGATAATAAATAATAAAAGTTTTAATACCAAAATCATTCACAGGCTGCTTCGAGGCAGTTGTTAGAATTTGGACCAACGACTTCAATATTGTGCTGCAAGGTGGCTCAGTGGTTAGCACCTTCACCTCACAGCTAGAAGGTCGCTGGTTCGCGTCCTGGTGAGGACACCCGGGATCTTTCTGCATGGAATCTCCACATTCTCTTCGTGCAGCGTGGGTTCTCTCCGGGTTCTCTGGCTTCCTCCCACAGTCCAGAAACATGCTGAGGTGATTTGATGGATGGACTTCAATATTTTAAAAATCTCTATTGCGCAATATCTCAGCTATATTCTTGACGCAGGGGTTTGAATTGAGGAGCTTGTCGTGATATCCCTCAAAGCGTCACCCCTTCTATTATTTTGTACGTATAAGGTTTTTTTTTGTTTGTTTTGTTTTCCAAAATGAGCAAAGAGCACTCCAGTTTTAACAAGGCAGGGCTATTAACAGCAGACATCCAATAAGGCTCTTGAAAATTTTGCAAGAAAAAGAAATTCATCACTAATGTTTTATTCTTATGTGTACAGCAACTGTGTCTTTTTTTTTTTTTTTAAAGATGGACATACCTTTAGTTTCGGTTACTGCTCTATACAGGAGCTTTAATTGCTCCCACAGTTTCAGTTTTAGTCGCTTGTTTACTGCGTCCCAGGTGACATATGCCTGGAAGGTATTCAGACCCTGTCAGGGCCAGTTTTGACAAATGCCTCAGTGGCTTATTGGTTCATAATCAGCATGCTTACTTCCACAAGACAAAAGAACGTGAGAGGTGTTAAGGCAAACTTTTGCCCCCAGGCATCAACTATTTTCTTACACTCAGCTGTCACGCCTGGATACCAAGATGTAGAGTAACCTATAGCAACACTACAGCGCAAACCTCTTGATCTGAGTCAGCCATGTTGGTTGTTGTCAGCACTTGTCATCGGCATGAAACCCAGTTCCATGGACAGCAGAGTGTTTAAGGTAGCTGAGGAATGATTCACGCTGACACGTGACTTCCTATCTTAAGTTCTATACAATACTGAAAAATGTGATAGAAATCCGAAAGACCTTTGGATGTGTAGTAACCTGAAATTCTTTGTCCAGTCACTAATCTCTACTTCCGTCCTTGCATTTTTCCATGTATCCACCCATTCATTCAGACAGGTAGTAAAGTGAGCCCAGCATGTGAAGCACCACTATGACCAACCCACAAGTAGACTGTCATTAGGGAGTGTTAGGTGCACTGTCATTTTTCTCTTTCTTTTTTTTTCTGCAGCAGTTGCGGCTTTGTTACTGGTTTTCATTCTCATACGCCTGATCTATGTCTCTTCTCCCTTTCCTCCTGCAGTTGTCTTTCAGCAGTGTCGTCACTCCACCTTTGTTTTAGCAATAACAATAGCGTTCCGTGTGAGATTGTGTTGATATAGTGGCTGCATTGTTTCTTCTACTCATTTGTAAAGTAATTGCTTGTTTTAACAAAATACGCACAAGTTTAATGTCATCGGGCATAAATGAGTCAAATAACAACATTTACATCATCGCTTGATCGTTGAAATTACTGAGTCATGTGGATCTTAACTGTACGTAAACAACACAACATAACATAGGCTTTAATTTATGATGACAGCCAGTGAACACATTTAGCAGTTATGTCATCTCCTCCACATCCGCTGTCCATATTTGGTCAAGCGCGCCTCAAACCAGGTCTCCACTGTCGTGTCATGACATCACCTCAGTGTAACTGGTTTTTATGTGGGAGAACTGGAGCGCGACAGCTGGGCTTTCCAAGAGTCCAAACATAAAAATCACAAAAGTTCACCAATTAGCAACAGTGTAAACAAAGGGGGGGATCAAAACATGAGAATGGGGGTGGGATCAGGTGGTCAGTGTGGGGTAAACATTGAGGTAAACAGCCGAGCGATGAGTCAAATGACGCTTTCGGTGCTGTTCCGAGTGGAAAGTTCACTGATTTAGTGGGGTAACTTGGCTGTGTGAACTCTGCCGCCTTCCCAAATTTGTAACACGCAAAAAGCTTTGCAGGACTTCACCCGGCAAAGTTATTCAGATAACTCAGTGATACTGGACTGATTGACTCACTTCCTAATGTACTTAGAAAAACCTGCATGTCCCATTATTTTTCCATCTGAACAAGGATTAAACAGAAGTATCAGTCACAGGAAAAGCTCAGAGAGAAACTGTGATGCATGAGTGCTGATTAAGACTAAAGCCATTGCGCTGTTTACCTGCTAGGTTTCAGACTGATTTTAAGTTCCTTTATTTGTTTATAACTACGTGGCCTTGCACCAGACGACCTCTCAGGAATGCTGTTGGTCTATGAACCAGGAAAGGCCCATCAGATCCTCTGATTCTGCTCTATAAATCTAAATCTGCTTTTCACTTGTAAAGCACTTTGAATTGCAATTAGTATGTTTGATAAGTGGCTGCAAGGTGGCTCGGTGGTTCGCACTGTTGCCTCACACCTAGAAGGTCGCCAGTTCATGTCCCGGTGAGGACACCCGGGATCTTTCTGCGTGGAGTCTCCATGTTCTCTCGGTGCAGCGTGGGTTCTCTCCGGGTTCTCCGGCTTCCTCCCACAGTCCAGAAACATGCTGAGGTTAATTGGTGATTCTAAATTTTCCGTAGGTGTGAATATGAGTGTGCTTGGTTGTCTGTCTCTAAGTGTAGCCCTGTGATAGACTGGTTACCTGTCCAGGTGAACCTGCCTAGGCTGGGATAGACTCCAGCCTGGTGAGAATGGATGGATGTTTGATAAGTGTTATATAATGTATTTGCCAAACAGAACATTGATTGATATTGTGTCCTCTTACTTGTTGATGGTCTTATTTTTTACATACAAATTTACAATTACAATTTCATTGAGCAGACACTTTGAATCACATTCATACACCAAGGGCGACGGAGCTGCCATGCAAGGTGCTGCCTGCCATTGGGAGCAACTTTTGGGTTCAGTGTCTTGCCCAAGGACACCAACTTTGCGATTAGGGGCTAACCTGCTCTACCACCTGAGCCACAGCACACCTTGTATTAAGGAGAATCTGCTCTCAGCGCTTGTGAGGACTCTCTGTAGCACTCACTTGGTGGAAGAATGCTGTACATGCTCTACAAGGCTGAGATGTATGACTGAAACTCCGAGGACTGCTCTGGTGGAATAGCTCCTGTAAATTGGGTGAATTTTCTGTGCAAATGGTGACACACATGTGCTAAAGTGTAAAACCAGGATGTTTTGACTGGTTGGCAGCCCTCTTGCATTTAGGGTTGTTGTCTAGGTCAACCCAAACCGCTCTGGCTGACATGTTTGGGCACCTTAGGAAAACCTCTCTCTGCTCAAAAACCTCTTGTGGGAGGTATCAAAAAGGTTTGATAAATCTTAGACACGCTACTGTGTAAAAATGAGGCATTACCAGCTCGAGGCTATGCAAGCCATGCCAGATGTGGTGCTGTGGAATCACAAACACATGTATATCCTCAGAGAAATATGTGTTAGCGTGTCACAGTTCAGAAGCTCATCTGCTGAGAGCAATTAGCTCAAGAGCTCCTTTGCAGGCAATATGTCAGACGTTGCTGGAACCTACTTTCCCAAAGCCACATAAAAGTAGATGCCTTGGAATGTGTTTTCAGCTGCTTTTCCAAAAGTTATTTCGTGTTAGAGATGCCAAACAAAGCTGTTGTGCTGTGCATGATTCGCTATTAGTCAGTTTGACGATGGCAGAGATGGACTCTAACCCGTTTTTTGTATCTGAACCTGCAGCTGTAAAAGCATGCAGTCTGCTGCTGCTACTGCAGCTACAATCTTATTCCTGCATGTTCAAGACATACATGTGAACTTAGACGGACGAACCCATAGACTGAAAAAGAAATGGGAAAGTTTTCAGTCTGCTTTAAACAATGTTAATATTGTAAATATAATATGTAAAAATAAATGTAAATTTCTCCCAATTTCTCATCAATAAAATTATTCTATTTTATTCTATTGGAGCGCAAAAGACATTTCAGCAGCTGGGACGCATCGGCAGCTTCTTAGAAGACTTGAATCAGACGACACAAGAGCTGCTTCATGTTTAGTGAGAGTGTCAGGAAAGACATTTTGAGTAATGTTATTTAGTCAAGAAGTAAAACTTGGATGAAAGTTGTCAAACTAGATATTAACCAATACAGGGATCTGAGACCAAGTGTAATTTGAACAAATCCGGGTTTTTTTGTGAGGACTCTGGTTGTCTGTCCACAATATTTGGTCACATTTCTGACTTGTGTTGTGCTTCTCAGTGAAAAAGGTGCTGGTATAGAAGAACAGCAGTATCTCCTGCTGAACAGGGGCTTAACATCATCTTCAGTGGTTTCTGACTCGTCCTCATTAAGCTGGAGGAAGTTGCGGGACGTTCAAGTGCTTATTTCTGTGATGCATATAAGCACTGATTTGACCGAGCAAAAGTTTCTGGGTGTGACAGTTGTGTCATCAGCGTGTTCAAGTGGTGCATATCATCTTCATTTATTGTCTGGCCAAGAGGCAGTATGCAAAGTCTGGAGAACAATGGACCAAGCACCGACCCTTAAGCCGCTCAGACTACAGTGCAGACGTTTTAGCGATAAAGTTCCCACAAAACAACGAAAATAATCACCACTTTAGATATGATGTAAAGCAGTTTTTCAGTTATCAGGATATCGTGGTCAGTGACTCAAATATGAGGAAACCAAGATAGACATGCCACCATTCAGTCACAGACCGTAATTCTACATGAACAACGCTGTTTTCTTGGAAACCAGATAAAAATGCATCGTCATGAACCGTTTTTTCGATGAATTTTCTAGAGAAATCATGAAGTGTCTAGATTGGGTAATTAGTATTTAGTAATGATTATACCATTGCACATTTAAGAGAGGAATCAAATCCAGATTACGGATGCTGGCTATTTTTTGAGTCATTAAAATCACATCATTTCGTAGCGGGACCCTACCGTCTCCGACACCCATCAACATTTTCACCTTTTGACCCATGAGTGCTCAGTGAGTTCTCAGGTCAACACCTACATTGCATCATCAGGAGGCAAACCAGGCAAATGCTTGAGTCCCCCACCCCCCCATGGCCTGTTATATTTTCACCCTTTGCGCTGACAACAATAACTCTCATTAATCTTCCCATGCAGACCAGTGCACCACCTCTGACCGGTTATACTGTAGCTGGAAAGGGAGCCAGTCTCCAGATCCAGTGTGATTCGGTGGGCGTGTGACGAACACGAGCTGTTTCATCATGTGGGAGTGTTTTGTTGTGAGCTGATATTTGATGTTACTACTTTGGTGTTCATGTCTGCCTGTTTTTGCATGGTGTCATTTATTATTGTTGAATAGATGACTATGGTGTCTGATTATGCACAGTAGGCAGATTTCTTGACTGAAATAGATGAATGCTTTTATAAGGGTGTGTCAGGAATGGGGAGAGAGCAGGTGGAACTGCTGCCGGTCTGTACTGCTGTTTAGAAAAGTCCAAGGACTGGTGACACAAAATATATATCAAATCCAAACTACAAACTACCAGTTTTTCCCTTCCAAGTAATCCCCCTGGAGTCTAACACCCTCCTCCAGCCTTCTCTTCACGCCGCCATGCACTCCTGGAAGGATTCTTCAGGATCCTCTCAGCTCCGTCCTCACAGCCATCTTGATGTCGTCCACGTCTTCTAAACGGGTCTCCTTGATGACCCCCTTGAGCTTGGGGAAGAGGAACCAACCCCACGGAGCCAGGTGGGGTGAGTAGGGAGGTTGCTCCAGCACGGAGATGTTCTTCTCAGCCAGGAGCTGTGGGATGCTCAGGGCGCTGTGAGCAGGTTGTCATGGTGAAGCAGCCTCCACTGGTCCTGACACAACTCTGCCTCTTCTGGACGAAGCAAACGCTGCAGGATCTCTTTGTAGACGTGCTGGTTGATCATCTGGAGGGGAAAACTGGTAGTTTGAAGTTTGGGTATAAAATACATCTTTGGTGACACCAGTCCTGGAACTTTTCTGACACACCTCGTATATATAGAAGGTGAACAGATCAGCAGTGCATCAGAAAGTGACAAATGAGGGACAATCTTTTCTTAAGAACAAGAATGAAGCGTTTTTCTAAATGAATATCTCACTTGTGTGATTTTTGTGGTTTATAGTTATCAGCAGCCTTCTCCATTTTGGTCTTTCTGCCTACATGAGTCCTCCAACATTGTTTGTTTGTTTTTCCCCCTTTCTTCTTATCAGTAAATCATTTTGCATTTATTAGACAATACTGTTTTTTCAAAGTGTTGCTCCCAAAACTTTGTGTAAATGGTGGAACATTTCGATGAAGCATTACATGCTGCTGTCTGACATTATGTTAAGGAAAAGAAAGGTGTTGCTGCAGCACTATAGTGATTCATATAATAAGGAAATATTAAACTTTACAGAGGAAGCAGAAACTCATCAACTTACTAGCTGCTGTCTTTTCATCATATTTTAAAAGACACATCTGAAGTGGTTCTGTGTTGATAATGCAAAACGTACATGTGAATTCTAGAAGGATTTATCAGAACGAATGATCTAGATTTTTTTCAAAAACCCTGTTTCCTACAGTCGCAGTAAATGTGCTTGTGCGGTTAAGTGTTTGGCAGTTTCTACAGATATGAGACAACTTAATTTGCCTATCAAATTATGGGATAGCGTTGCGAGTCTTAAAAACCTCGGCTGGCTTTTATGCTGCGGTTTTGGCATGCCTGGAGCTCCCTGGAGTCACAGGGAAGTCAAGTCTGTGCTACAAGAGAGATGAGGTTATTTAACATGTGACAGCCTGCTTCCACAGAAGAGCAGAGAGATATTTGCATTTTGCAGCTTAATACCTTGGTGCTGCTGCTTTGAATACACTGTGTTACACTTCTGGCAAAACTGGCATAGCTCTTCAGCAAAGAAGCAGAAAGAGAATTCATATGCTGAGATTCAGGCAAAAGTACTGAAGTGTAAATATCGAACCATATCATCTACATAGAATGCATGCACTTGAAGATGTTGTACATAGAGGAACATTCTAGGCTGAGTCTCCTGGGGTAATCTGAACACAACGGTAGCGATAGAGTGCAGGTGATTGAGGGGGAGATGTTTGCAGCACTTAGTCTGTAAGAAGGACTCACACTGACGATATTCCAAAAAGATTATTTGCTTTTTTGCCCAGAATTATTTCAGAAGATTGAAGCTGCTCTCTGGTCTTATGCTACAAGCATCTCCTCGTTTAACGGTAAACACTAAAACCATAGATATGTATAATAAAGGCTCGATGTCTGAAGGCGGTGTTTCGAACAGGATCACCCTTCGGCCATCTTGATTCGGGGCAGCTCTCTGGCGGACCCTGTGGTACGTAAAGGAAGGTGAGTGATCTGCACAAACGTAAATACTCTGATCTCGCTGAAATCTTGACGGATTTACAAACGGTTTGGTTTCTTACAAACGTTATTAACGTGGCTACAATTCAAATTACAAAAATACAAATAAAATACAAAATAATTAAAATGCCAATTGTTGCTGGCCGTGAGAGCGTAGCATAATTATCCATCAGTGCAGCGTTATAACTACTCCTCTGACGTTTATAACAAACCAAACCGTTTGAAAATCATTAGAAAACTGAGCAAGTTATGGTTATTTAAAAAGTACATGCACCAGTACAACACGATGTTATGGGTGAGTGAGCGGACCGTACCAAGATGGCCGCCAGTGCAGACGTGCCATTCCATTGGCCGGCAGCACGGACAAGACATCTAACCGTTATTATACATATTTATGGTTCTAGTGACTTCTTGGCCATAGTGATGCAACAACGGAAACTTGAAAATGAAATAACAAAATGCAACAAAAAAACCTTTACTGTTTTATTGTTGTTATGGGCAGGAGGCTGTCATACATCAAGATGAGATGTTTTATCCTGTTCATGCACAGAGTTTAAACTATCACCCACATCCACAGCAAATTCAAAAACGACGCTGACGTCGTGTTGAGTCGAGGACTTGTTGGCTGAGTATCATGTTAAGAAGAAGAAAACCCAGGATGCACAGTTTCCTCCTTGTATTTTTACACTACTTTCTTCCTACTTTCACAATGTAAACGACACAGAAATGACTGAACTCCTCTCTGTTAACATTTTATTGATGAAAATGAGAGTCGTGAATGTTTAACCAGACGCAGTACTCGCCTCCCACCACATTGGCTCGGGAAGCAAGTTCTATGTTAGATATTTACACAAAAATATTTCCACATCAAAAGTGCTTTGGCCTCTTAAGTCTAAGAGTTGCTGTTTAGCTAAGCTCTCTAAAGGTTTTTTTTTTAGTTTTTGGCTGATTACCATAAAGACATCACATAAAACAATATTGCATAACATTCAGGGATGTCACGCTGTGTCAGCCCCGGTTCTTATAAATAACTTGTGCTCAGATCAAATTCAGTGCTACAAAATACTCTATGAATAAACATTTTAAGTACATACAGCATGTAGTATTCACTAACATTTAAAAATAGAACAATGCAGTTATAGTTACATGTAGCCAGTATAAAACAAAAGCTGTATCACCTCACCGTGCTGTAACCCACACCCAGAATCAGAGGCGCCCATATCTGGGACACTCAGGATTCGTCGCCAACTGGATGTAAAACTTCTCCTTCAGAGAATAATCCTCAATCACTGGTGAGCTAGTGGAGATTTTATGGTTTTCTATTTGCTGAAGACCAAAAGGATAACTTGTCTTATTTGGTAAATTGTCTTTATGAGATCTCTATCCAGCCCTGTGACACAGCTTCTTTTCTTCCTCAGCAGCCAGTCTCGTCATTTACTCTATATCGTTTTCTTCCTCGTCGTCCATCCCAGGCAGCTCTTTCTCCGGCAGCAGGCCGTAGCTGTTGAGGAAGGCCTCAACGTCGGTAGCAAAGAACTCCTCGTTTAGGTGCTGCGTGCAGGCTAGGAAGTTCCCTAGTAGCTCGCCAGCCTTGTACACCAGCAGCGTTGGCAAAAATTCATCCGAAAAACGCTCGGCAGCACCAGATGCGACAGCGTCAATCCTGCAGAACTTTACGGTGGGGTACTCAGTGGCCAAGCAGTCAAGGCAGTTGTTGAGCTCCTCACAACCTTTGACTCCAATCTTGTAAATGTGAACAACCACCACTGTGCTGTGATGCTCTTTCTCAATGACTTCTAGGAAGGCCTCCCCACTGTCCAGGTCATGCACGCCTTCAAACTTGGGCCCAAAGCTGAGCTTGTCATGCATCTCTTGCATACATCGTTTTCTGTACTTCTTAAGACATCCTTCATCCTCCTCCTTCAGCAGTTCATACTCCTGAACGCTCATCTAAAACAAATGACAGTGAAACAATAATTGCGATGTATCGTTGCTGTGGGATTGTAATATTTGCAGTTTCTAATGGTTCTGAGACGTGATGCACAGTGTGTAAAGATTGCAACCAAATGCACAGTGTTTGCTCTTTATTAATGTAGGTCTGCTGTTTCTTTAGCCTTGTGTTAGCACTGCTGGTAATGGGTTGTACCTTGCGGTTCAGGTTTGCTCTGGTGTCATCTCTTGACCTGCTGGGGGACGACATCTGTCTCAACAGTTCCCTCTTTGCAGGAGGCAAGTTTTCCTGGTCCATACTTTCCAACTTAAACCTCCTCCAGTCATTGATGACTCCTTTTGGACCTACGGAAAAAGCAAATAGCAGTTTAGTTGTATTAAGGAATATAATGACCGGTGTCTGTGGCTATCACTAATACAGCGTGGTAGGAGCAAAACAGATGGGAGAGACAGGAAGCATATTTTGGCAGACAGGATTCAGTTCTGGTCCAGCAGGAGTAACTTGGCTGAGGTTTAGACCGCAGCTGTTTTTGTTTTAAGGAACAACTAAAATGTCATATTGGATATTAAATGTTGTACTTCAACCTTGTTTGTAAAATACTGATCTGCAGCTCGGGTGTAAGCCATTGGTGGTAACGTGTCCTGTTTTAATTTGGGGATTATCTTAACCCTCTTGAAACTGGACTAATTACCCGAGTGTTGCATAAGAAAAAGAAGATTAGAGCGTCTCTTAAACTGACGGAGAGCTACAAATCTGTGCTCTGCTCTGCCGTGGCCTTCTGTTTTATCTGTTTAGACCCGTTTTGTCGGTGTACAATTTATTTTGTCCTCACAAGAACATCACTCTGTTAAATTAATAGCATAAACAGAAAGATCCGCCCGATCCATAGGCACAGATCACAAAGCAGGTCCACTGTGTGACGTCTGAAAGCAGTTCATGTTCTCACCTGTGTGGGTCGCAGTCTCTTCCAAATCCATCAGGCTGTTAGACATTTTTCCAGTTAGCTACCTGGAAGACAACAAATTAAGAATCAGACTCTACAATTCATTCCATGATGTGGACACGATCTGCACTCTCTTCTGAACATAAGAGTTTTAATTGTTCTGAAATGACGCTTGTTTGTTGTCACCGTTCAGTCACAACGACTGTGTAGCGACAAATTTAAAACCTTTGCACTGTGACGGAGCTTCTGGATACCAAGCGAGTCCCTTGACGTTTAATTAAATTAATGCAGTCTAAGAGGATTAGTGAACTGCAACAGATCTGTGTTGCTTGCTGTAGGCCCTTGAAGCGACTGTTTGAAGATGGAACAGACTAAAATCATGAAACCATAAAGAAGAAATAAAGCAAAATCAAACAACAAAAACAATAGTGCAACAGCTTCAATGTGATTAATATACATATGTGTGTATACAACACGAGTGGTGCATGTATTTAGTGATGCACGATATTAAAATTTCTGGCCGATACCGATACCCGATACTAAGATTTCTGATATCGCTGATAACCGATATCACCGATGTCGATATTCAGTTTCTGTTCACACTGAAAAATTTGTATGAGTGAGCACTGTGAGAAAACTATTCAAAAGAAGCCCAAATTAGAACACATAGCCTTTTTTTATTACGTAACAAACATATTCTAACATATTTCAGTCCAGGACCATTTAAGTCAAAGCATCTGCGAAATAGCAGCGAATGTAGAGACGAAGGCGCTGATGTTTGACAATCATCGGCTGAATTTGTTCATCAGACTGATGCCGATATATTGGAATAAAAAACACTGACGTGGTCGCCGATATATCGTGCGTCCCTGATTTATTTATATGTTAAAGGAAGACATATTCAACTTAATGAATATAATAATATACTTTCAGGTTCCATGTTATGATGTGTGATGTTACGTGCTCATAAACTGCAATAGTTCCATTTGTACAAACTTTATGCAGACATAAATTATTCACCCGTTTTTTGATATACTTTGCGCTGCACGCTGCTTCGCCATGTCTTTGGTGTCACTGTTTGTGCTGTTAGATGGGATGACGTATACAGAGCCAATATCCGATTGGATTAGATGGCCTATGCCCAGCGTTTCAATTAGTGGAGTCCTCTTCTCCTGCTTGCAGTCACGACGCTGATCTGCTCTAATGATCTTTACGGCCACCTTTCTAACTCACAATTCACAAGTGGAGATCTTGTGTGATTACCTGTAGCATGACCAAATGGAGCCATGCGTAAACATTTCCGTTATGAGTCTCTATGTGTAGAGGCACTGACAATACATTCTTGTAAACTGCTGACTTCCAATTACACACAAACCCATGACTAATATCACCACCAAAAGAAAGAATTCTTTGTTCTTATTTTATGCAGAAGCGTTTAACACAAAAATAAATAAAACTGAGCAAGAATTTGTTGAACTTGTCTTTTGGATGTCTAATGTTTTGACACAGTGTAAATGGAAAATTGTCAAAATGACAAATAAGATGGCCTCCAGATGCATGTAAAACCACAAGAGTCAAGTAACTTCTCTCCTGTTTCATCCATTCAAAGCTAAACTTCTCTCCAAATCTCAGCTCATTATGCTCCATCATTAATTAAGAGTTGTTTTCTTACCTCCCACAGCCACAGTAAAGTCCTCCCTTTGTGTCAGTAGCTAACCTTGCTCTGGTGTACACTCGGTCGCTTCACTGAGCTATCTGTTGCTGGACTGTGTGTGTTTTCGTGTGCATGCGTGTGTCTCCTCCAGCCAATGAGCTTGGTCTAATGGAGATTTCAAAAAAGACCCTATAGACCAAACAGAAATAGAGCAAAGAGCCTAAGAGGATTTCACTTCAGGAATTAGAAGCCTCCACTTGATAAAGGCCTGACTGCGCACAATGAAGAGGGAGAAAGGTAGAGAAAAAAAAAGAGAGAGCGCGAGAGACACCGGAGCACTTCTTTTTTCAAAACTTTAGACAAGTTAATTTTTTCTTAATCAAGAAATTGAGCAATCACTTACTCGGGCAGTCGATGAGCGTGTTTCCTATTCAAGAGCAGCACACAAGAAGCCACTGTGTCGCGTTTGACTGTTAAAAGCAGCACGTTAGGAGTTAACTCATGCGAGAGCACAATATCCGTGAGATGAACTTTCAGATAAATTGATCTTGTCTGCCTCTTCCAGGCATCGAGCTTCAGCGAAAGGAGCACATGATGAGAGCCTTTCAAAACACAAAACACTGCTAGCTTCGGGTGGGGAATGTCTAGTGATGCTTCATCATGTGCTTCTTGACTGTTCTCAAGACAAAACTGCCACTGTGTTCTCCTCTCAGTCCTTTCTCCTTACAAGTTGCTTTTAAGTCACACTTACTCACACAAAGATGTAAAAATGTTCTGGTGGGCGTAAAACAAAGAAAAAACCAGCATCTGTACATTTAGCTACAGTTCCACTATGCAGGTTGTACATATGTCAGAAATAATATACTAAGAAGTAGAAATACTACGAATATGTGGGTCAGAAACTACTAAACATAGGTTTTCTGTTGTTTGGCCATTAATATAGATATAAGTGATGAGATTAAATGTTGTATTTCTTGTTATAGTGTCGTCATAAGCTTTGTAAGTCTCAGTCGCTCAAGAATTTAAGCTTTAAAGGGGCTAAGGAAGTATTTATATGTGTTGTACTTTGGTAAAAGAATGAATAGAAGTACTTCAATATTAAAATACTCCATCACAAGAGAAAGTTATGTCAAAGTACACAAGCATTATCAGTTATATGTGCTACGATAATGCAAAATGTGTGCGTGTCGGAGCGTTATGCGTGCATATGGCTGAATGGTACGGACCCGTTATCATGCAGACATTCTGGTGTACATTCTGTAAGCTGATAATCACGCTGGTTCTGCTTTTACTCTTGAAATGTGGTGGCGTGAAAACATTCCAGCGTGGTAGAGTAGAACAATGGGAAATATTCGATTAAATTTCAGAAGTACTGTATGTGTATTATTTCCATCTGCTGCTTTGGAAATGGAAAGAAATTTCCTTATTGCATACATCAGCTCAAACGAAATTGTATATAAGAGTCTATGTATGTTATTAAAGTGAGCATCTTCAGAGTGTCAGCGCTATTTTTCTCTGACAGTGTGGTTATTAATAGAGAAATTCCTGACGTTTCATCCAGAACAATCTACATTCATTAACTAATCTTCGGTTGGTATATTTCCACACGCTGCCGTGTGAAAAGCAGCCTCAATCACTCCTAATACTCTGTCTTTCCCCGCATGCCTCACTGTAAGCTTTCCTTTAACCGAGTGCTGAATCACTGCAGTGCAAACAGGACGAGTAAATGCCCTCCACGCCCATCCAGTGTTTTCTGGGGCAGCTCATGCAACCGTGTTTGACTTCTGTCCTTCGTCTCTGTGTCTCTGTCCTGTATTTATTGGCTTAAAGGATTACTGGACTTTTTTTATGCAGGCACACGGGAAAAGCACGTCAGGTGGGGCTTCATTATTCTCAGTCGCTTGTTAAGCGGCGGTTGCTTAAAATGGAATTCAGCCGATTATTTTGCACCTTTTTGTTCTAAAAATGTCTGTCAGCAGCAGCTTACGGTCCAATATTAG